AGAAAAAGTCTCTTCATTGAAGACAGTTTTTCTATAGAAAAATCTCTTCATTGAAGACAGTTTTTCTATAGCAAAAGTATCTTCATTGAAGACAGTTTTTCTATAGAAAAAGTCTCTTCACTGAAGACAGTTTTTCTATAGAAAAAGTCTCTTCAATGAAGACAATTTTTCTATAGAAAAAGTCTCTTCAATGAAGACAATTTTTCTATAGAAAAAGTCTCTTCAATGAAGACAGTTTTTCTATAGAAAAAGTCTCTTCATTAAAGGCAGTTTTTCTATATAAAAAGTCTCTTCATTCAAGACAATTTTTCTGTAGAAAATGTCTCTTCATTGAATTCAGTTTGTCTTTAGTAAAAGTCTCTTCATTGCAGACAGTTTTTCTATAGAAAATGTATCTTCATTGAATACAGTTTTTCTATAGAAAAAGGCTCTTCATTGAAGACAGATTTTCTATAGAAAAAGTCTCTTCATAGAAAACCCATTTGCTTCATTGAGGACTCTTTTTCCATAGAGAACATAGATTGATGTTTGCAAGTTTTCATCTATAGAAAAATATATTTTTTAATAGAAAAAGGTCTTTTTAATGATAATACACCTAGTATGTTTGATACAAAACGTTTCCTATAATAAAAGAAATATCCCGTCTAAATAGTAGACAAACTGACGTTATAAAAACAATAAATAATACCAGCAACAACAAAATATCAAAAATGAAGAAAAAAAAACAACAAAAATCTTATAAATTGGCATACTCCATTCAAGAAATGATAATTTACATTAAAACAACAACAACAAAATACTACTAGTTAACTAAAACAAATTATACGTGCAAGAACAACAACAAACTTACCAAGCAGCCATCAAAATTGTAAAAAAAAGAGGAAAACAGGAGAAGACAAAAGCAAACATTAATTTTTTTCAAACAAGAAAAAGCAAGAGAACAATAAACAACACACACTGAGAAGAACTGTAATGGAAGTTAAACAGAATAAGGAGAAATCTCTTATTATGGGAATTTTTAGATAACAGGAGAAATTCAATTCCAATTGGAATTGTTTAATAAGAATAATAAAAGAGTAAAGAGCTAAGCTAGTGTGGGTAAAAGAGACAAGCTATACTATAATGATAAGCAAGCATGCGCCATGTTTTACTGAGCATTTTGTATAATTAAGGAGAATATAATGATAACTTCTCTGCGCCTTAAGTTCTTAGGGAGCAAAGAGCAGAGCTATATTATCATAAGAAGAGCATAACTATATTTATATGAATTTTACTTAATATTTACTTTTTCTTTATTTTAACACTACTACTACAACAATAAAACAAACATGTTGATGGTTTTGGTTAACGCCCCTGCCCTGTTTACATTTTTTAACAGTATTTTAAAAGTTGTCTTGTTTTTACTTTAAGGTAAAAGTAAAACTTGCCGTATGTATTTTGCAAGATTAATTACCATAATATGTGCATAAAATGCCCAAAATTACTAATTACAAACAACAAGTCTGTGCGCCAAGAAGATATAATTTTTATGGTACAAACTGCCGACGGAAAATCCACACCACTTTGTTGAAAAATTAAAAAACAAAGTAAAAAGATAAATTTTCTATTGAAAAAATTTGCTATAGGAAAACTCTCTTGCAGAAGACAATTTTCTATAGAAAAACTATCTGCCAGGAAGACAAATTAACTATATATAAGGAGCTTTCAAGAAAACAAATTTTTCATACGAAAAGGGGTTTTCCAAAGAGACCAAAATGTCTCTTCCAGGAAGACAAATTTTCTACAGGAAATGTCTCTTGAAAAAAGACAAAGTTTCTATAGAAAAAATCTACTTTTTAAACATAGTTTTCTATAGTATGTATTTCTATAGAAAAATTGTCTTAAATGAAGAGACTTTTTCTGTAGAAAAACTGTCTTCAAACTGTCTTCAATGAAGAGACTTTTTCTATAGAAAAACTGTTTTCAATGAAGAGACTTTTTCTATAGAAAAACTGTCTTCAATGAAGAGACTTTTTCTATAGAAAAACTGTCTTCAATGAAGAGACTTTTTCTATAGAAAAACTGTCATCAATGAAGAGACTTTTTCTATAGAAAAACTGTCTTCAATGAAGAGACTTTTTCTATAGAAAAACTGTCTTCAATGAAGAGACTTTTTCTATAGAAAAACTGTCTACAATGAAGAGACTTTTTCTATAGAAAAACTGTCGTCAATGAAGAGACTTTTTCTATAGAAAAACTGTCTTCAATGAAGAGACTTTTTCTATAGAAAAACTGTCTTCAATGAAGAGACTTTTTCTATAGAAAAACTGTCTTCAATGAAGAGACTTTTTCTATGGAAAAACTGTCTTCAATGAAGAGACTTTTTCTATAGAAAAACTGTCTTCAAGGAAGAGACTTTTTCTATAGAAAAACTGTCTGCAATGAAGAGACTTTTTCTATAGAAAAACTGTCTTCTAGAAAGAGACTTTTTCTAAAGAAAATTTGTCTTCCTTGAAGAGACTTTTTCTACAGAAAATTTGTCTTCCTGGAAAAGTCTTTCTCAATAGAAAAACTGTCTTTCAGGAAGAGACTTTTTTATAGAAAAAATGTGTTCCAGGAAGAAGAAGAGACTTTTTCTATAGAAACTTCCTGGAAGAGACTTTTTCTATACAGAACCTAACTTCCTGTATCAGACTTTTCCTATAGAAAAATCAACTTGATAGATACTTTTTCTATAAAAAAAAACTATTTTCAATGAAAATACTTTTTCTGTAGAAAAACTGTCTTCCTGGAAAAGACTTTCTATAGAAAAACTGTCATCCTGGAAGTGGCTTTTTATATAGAAAAGCTGTCTTCCTAGAAAATACTTCTTCTATAGAAAAAATTTCTTCCTGGAAGAGACTTTTTCTATGGAAAATTTGTCTTCCTCAAAGAGATTTTTTCTATGGAAAATTTGTCTTCCTGAAAGAGACCTTTTCTATAGAAGATTTGTCTTCTTGGAAGAGTCATTTTTTATAGAAAATTTGTCTTCCTGAAAGAGATTTTTTCTATAGAAAATTTGTCTTCCTGGAAGAGACTTTTTCTATAGAAAATTTGTCATCTTGGAAGAGACTTTTTCAATGGAAAATTTGTTTTTCCGGAAGAGGCTTTTTCTATAGAAAATTTGTCTTCCTCAAAGAGATTTTTTCTATGGAAAATTTGTCTTCCTGAAAGAGACTTTTTCTATAGAAGATTTGTCTTCTTGGAAGAGTCATTTTTTATAGAAAATTTGTCTTTCTGAAAGAGATTTTTTCTATAGAAAATTTGTCTTCCTGGAAGAGACTTTTTCTATAGAAAATGTGTCTTCCCAAAAGAAATTTTTTCTATAGAAAATTTGTCTTCCTGGAAGAGACTTTTTCTATAGAAAATTTGTCTTCCTGGAAGATACTTTTCCCTTAGAAAATTTGTCTTCCTGAAAGGGATTTTTTCTATAGAAAATTTGTCTTCCTGGAAGAGACTTTTTCTATAGAAAATTTGTCTTCCTGGAAGAGACTTTTTCTATAGAAAATTTGTCTTCCTGGAAGAGACTTTTTCTATAGAAAATTTGTCTTCCTGGAAGAGACTTTTTCTATAGAAAATTTGTCTTCCTGGAAGAGACTTTTTCTATAGAAAATTTGTCTTCCTGAAAGAGATTTTTTCTATAGAAAATTTGTCTTCCTGAAAGAGACTTTTTCTATAGAAAATTTGTCTTCCTTGAAGAGACTTTTTCTATAGAAAATTTGTCTTCCTGGAAGAGACTTTTTCTATAGAAAATTTGTCTTCCTGGAAGAGACTTTTTCTATAGAAAATTTGTCTTCCTGGAAGAGACTTTTTCTATAGAAAATTTGTCTTCCTGGAAGAGACTTTTTCTATAGAAAATTTGTCTTCCTGAAAGAGATTTTTTCTATAGAAAATTTGTCTTCCTGAAAGAGATTTTCTCTATAGAAAATTTGTCTTCCTGGAAGAGACTTTTTCTATAGAAAATTTGTCTTCCTTGAAGAGGCTTTTTCTATAGAAAATTTGTCTTCCTGGAAGAGACTTTTTCTATAGAAAATTTGTCTTCCTGGAAGAGACTTTTTTATAGAAAATTAGTCTTCCTGGAAGAGACTTTTTCTATGGAAAGTTTGTCTTCCTGCAAGAGACTTTTTCTATAGAAAATTGGTCTTCCTGGAAGAGACTTTTTCTATAGAAAATTTGTGTTCCCAAAGAGACTTTTTCTATAGAAAATTTGTATTCCTGGAAGAGATTCTTTCTATAGAGACTTTATCTATTGAAAAATTGTCTTCATTGTTTAGAGTTTCTCCCGTTATTGTTCCCCTGCATCTGGTAACTTTAGCTTAAACATTTTTCCGTTATTTTTGTGTTTGTTGCTTAAGTTTGCTGCTGCACACAAAACAAACATTTCTTTTCAGAGGAGAAATCTCTAATATATTCATATATGTATGAATTTCTACTCAAATGAATAAGAGCAAAAGCCTTTTTTTAACTCTTTTAGTAATTTTAACGGTAATAATTTTTGGGACTTACTCATTTATTGTATTTTTTGCTTGTTTTAGTAAATTTTCATTGTTTTTAAGGTTTTTTTTGGGGGAAATATTTTTTATTATTGTTATTTTTGCGCAAATCTTTTATTAAACAAGAAATTTCTCCCTCAATTTTTTTTAATATGAATTTTTTTTAAGTGTTATTGTGTGAGTTACAACTCCTTTTTTAACATTATTTGGTGTGTGTTTTTTAGTGTATAGTTGTTGTTGTTGTTTTGTAACGTCATCATTGTTTAGTGTATGAATCGTCATTACTACTACTCAGTCCTCATTTTGCTGATATGAGAAGATGTTGTGTTTTTTTGTTTTCGCTTAACATTTTGCCGTTTTTTTTTTGCTTTTTTGACGTAAAATTTTTTTGCGTTATTTTTTTGTGTTTTTTTCATATTTTTTCCGTTTTGTTTTTGTTGCAGAGCTCAAAACTGTTGGTTGATGTTTAGTTTGACAACAGTTTAACGTGGAAATTATTGCGAATTTGTTGTATACGTTGTTAAGACGCATTAAATAACAGTTAGACAAAACAACAACAACAACAAAAAATACATATTTCATTTTGTACGTAAGAAAACAATAATAACAACAACGTCTATATACTAAGTCTTAACTGTGCAGTAGTTTTACTCTGTTAAGTCGAGTTGTGTGTGTTTTTTTTTTTGTTGTTTATTTCTATTTTATTTGGTTTTGTTTGTTGTTGGCTTTTTTAACTTACTCTCTAATAACAACAATAGCAAAAACACCGACTATTGTTAATAAAGTGTGTGCTAAAAATAAAGTGCGCGTTTTTTTTTTTTTGGTTTTCTACTGTTTGTTATAAAGAAAATTAATAGTGTTTTATTAATGAAACAACAAAGTAAAATATAGTTTTTAACACAATTTTGCAAACAAACATGAATAGTTTTTGAAGAAATTATTTTGTGGGTTTTTTCAACAAAATTTTGAAAATCATTTTCTGAGTCGCTTAAGTTATGTCCGTCCGTCTATACATAGTTTTGTAGTTTTTTCAACAAGATTTTGAAAATTATTTTCTGAATCGATTAAGCTATGTCTGTCCGTTCGATTTTGGAAATCGTTTTCTGTCTGTTTGTCCGTCTGTCCATGTAAACTTAGTAATCAAACTACAATTTTGAAGCTAATTCGATGAAATTTGGCGCACATATTAATTTTGACCCAAGTACCAACCCTATTGATTTTGATTGATGTCCAAAATCCATTATTTCACTTAGCACCTGATTAAGCTATATAATTCCGTCCGTCTGTCTGTCCATGTTAACTTTGTAATCAAACTACAATTTTGAAGCTAATTCGATGAAATTACGTACACATACATATTAATTTTGACCCAAGTACGAACCCTATTGATTTTGGTCCATTATTTCACTTAGCCCCCGATTAAGCTATATATGTCCGTCCTTCTGTCCATCTGTCCATCTGTCTGTTCATGTAAACTTTGTAATCAAACTACAATTTTGAAGCTAATTCGATGAAATCTGGCGCACATATTACTTTTGACCCAAGTACGAACCCTATTGATTTTGGTCCATTATTTCACTTAGCCCCCGATTAAGCTATATATGTATGTCCGTCCGTCTGTCTGTCTATCTGTCCATCTGTCTGTCTATCTGTTCATGTAAACTTCGTAAGCTACAATTTTGAAGCTAATTCGATGAAATTTGGCGCACATATTACATTCGACGAACCCTATTGATTTTGATTGATATCAGTTCATTATTTCATCTAGACTCCATACAACTGCAGCTCTTTAATTAGACTTTGGACTTCACAAAAATAGGCACAACTACGTTTTATATAAGCATAAATGATACTGCAAAATTTCATAATGATCGGCCCTAATTTGACCCTAGCGCCCCTACAAAGAAACGCTCTGAAAATGGCTTGAACATAATTCCCTTATACATGTAGATATTTTGATATTTTGCCATAGGCCCCATATATAGTTTCTTTCATACTTTCAGAATTTTATAAAAAATATACCGAAATTAAGGCAAATTTCAACATAAATGCTTTATTATTAAAAATAATACAAATTTAACATATAGTTAAGTTCCTTAAACTGATTATACAGACTCTTCATAGAAATCTATTCCATTTGGGTTTTTTGAATTATTTAAAACCTACATTTTACAAGATCCTGTGTTAGCTGTTTTATCAAAACATAAATAATATGTACATCAATATACGCAGAATTTCATAAGCTTTTCATTTTTTCATATAACATTTTATAATAACATTTTATTAAATAGTAATGACAGTGTAAGTATTTCAGCGTCTCGTTGTCCGCTACGCAAGCTCTATCTAAGTCTGAATACTTTCGTACAATCTCGTATATTTGTGTCTTCGTTTAGAATACATAACATCACACTAATCACGGACTCTGAGAAGGCTTATCGTCCTTCTCTCGTTAGAGTCAGCCCCATTGGATCCTTGTGGTTCTAACCTCACTGCTATGAACCGTATTGCTTTCATCAGATTAACTTCCCTCGTAGCTTTCATCAGATTAATTTTCTCAAGTCCCTTTCCCTTAATATCAAGTACATTCGCTCTTTCATTGCTGAATATTTCCGATCTGTTAAAGTAATCTGTTAAGGCTCTCTTATAGACCATCATGTTCTTAGAAACAGATTCTCAAATATGTTAGACCTAATGCATCATTTTGCATTGCTGCTAGCTCCGCTAGCGATTAGTGTTATCCGGCAATGTTTCAAGAACTTTGGTCGACTTAAGGCTCTTACACATAACCCCTAGTCCGCAAAAATTATTGAAGCGTATGTCAGAAGACAAGTTTGTCACAGTTGGAATCGGAAGCCATTGATTCAGTGATAGTTAAATGTTGAACTATATTTTCTTTTGGAAGAGCTCTCAGTCTATAGTCTGGTCTATAGTCTGGTCTATAGTCTAGTCCTATAGTCATAGTCTATAGTCTAGTCTATAGGTCTAGTCTATAGTCTAGTCCTATAGTCTAGTCATAGTCTAGTCTATAGTCTAGTCTATGTCCTAAGTCTATAGTCTAGTCTATAGTCTAGTCTATAGTCTAGTTATAGTCTAGTCTATAGTCTAGTCCTATAGTCCTAGTCTATAAGTCTAGCTATAGTCTTATAGTCTAGTCTATAGTCCTAGTCTATAGTCTAGTCCTAATAGTCCTAGTCTATAGTCTAGTCTATAGTCTAGTCTATAGTCTAGTCTATAGTCTAGTCTATAGTCTATAGTCTAGTATAGTCTATAGTCTAGTCTATAGTCTAGTCTATAGTCTAGTCTATAGTCTATATAGTCTCTAGTCTAGTCTAGTCTATAGTCTAGTCTAGTCTATAGTCTAGTCTAGTCTAGTCTAGTCTAGTCTATAGTCTAGTCTATAGTCTAGTCTATAGTCTAGTCTATAGTCTAGTCTATAGTCTAGTCTATAGTCTAGTCTATAGTCTAGTCTATAGTCTAGTCTATAGTCTAGTCTATAGTCTAGTCTATAGTCTAGTCTATAGTCTAGTCTATATAGTCTAGTCTATAGTCTAGTCTATAGTCTAGTCTATAGTCTAGTCTATAGTCTAGTCTATAGTCTAGTCTATAGTCTAGTCTATAGTCTAGTCTATAGTCTAGTCTATAGTCTAGTCTATAGTCTAGTCTATAGTCTAGTCTATAGTCTAGTCTATAGTCTAGTCTATAGTCTAGTCTATAGTCTAGTCTATAGTCTAGTCTATAGTCTAGTCCTATAGTCTAGTCTATAGTCTAGTCTATAGTCTAAGTCTATAGGTCTAGTCTATAGTCTAGTCTATAGTTAGTCTATAGTCTAGTCTATAGTATAGTCTAAGTCTATTTCTATAGTCTAGTCTATAGGTCTCGTCTATAGTCTCGTCTATAGTATAGTCTATAGTCTAGTCTATAGTTAGTCTATAGTCTAGTCTATAGTCTAGTCATAGTATAGTCTATAGTCTAGTCTATAGTCTAGTCTATAGTCATGTCTATAGTCTTGTCTATAGTCTAGTCTATAGTCTAGTCTATAGTCTAGTCTATAGTCAAGTCTATGGTCTAGTCTATAGTCTAGTCTATAGTCTAGTCTATAGTCTAGTCTATAGTCTAGTCTATAGTCTAGTCTATAATCTGGTCTTTAGTCTAGTGTATGGTCCAGTCTATGGTCTGAAACCTAAATCTGACGGTTTCTGTAATTTTTTTTGAATGGTTTTAACGGGAAATGGTGGAAAAATATTGGCTACACTGTTGATCACATCCCTGGTAAGATATTGAGTAGTATAAACCGATCCCTGAGAAAGCTCGATATATATCGAGAGTAGTAGTTAACGACACCAAAACCAATTATGTAGTTTATTGTGTAAGAAACTATGTTTCCAAAAAGAACTGAAAAAAGAGATCGTTAATCTTGAAGTAGGAAAAAGGAAATCACCAGCAATAAAAATTTCACTAGTCGGAAAGGGCAACTATTCATATTGTTTTTATTATGTACAATTTTTGCCGACGGAATTTAAATTGTTTCCTTTGGATTGAAATTGTAATTGTAATTTGTAAAGAACACTTAAAGTCTAGTTTACTAATAGTTTAACTATATAAGAGTTTAAGTTGGGATTAATATAATTCAGTTACATACAAATTTTATAGAATTTGTTAAAAAAAAAACTTAAAAAAATAACAAAAATATAAAAAAATGTGTTAATAAATTTAAAAAAATAAGAAAAACTAAAAATTTTCAATAAAAATCATGCCACAACGTTCACCATTTGCCATACAAGAACTATTAGGACTCAACAGTACAAAAGCAGCAGCTGCGGCGGCTGTCGTAGCAATGGCAAATCTAACGGATAACACGAATACAAGTGATAACTGTAAGCAGGAGCAACAAACCACGGCTGCAGTAAATGGTAAATGTAACCAAAGTCCAAAAGCTAACAATGGTGAACAGATAAAAAACGAAATTACATCCAAAAACAATCAGGAAATAGAAATAATAAATGATAGCAGGGAATCACCAACAACAGCCACAATTAAAATTTCCTCCAATTTATATAAAGCAACAACATTGGCAACGGCAACAACAACAGCAACAACACCAGCAACATCATCTACAACAACTGTAACAGATATTGCAACAACACCAAATTCAATATCACCTTCAACAAATTCAATTTCATCGGTAAATTCCTCTTTATCTTCTTATAATGAGGAAACCGATAAGAGACGTCAACAGCAGCAACAACAACAGCAGCAACAGCAACAATTGTCTATGGCTGCTGCCTCTAGAATGGCTTATTTTAATGCTCATGCTGCTGTAGCAGCAGCATTTTTACCACATCATTTAACCTCACACTCAACGACACATAATCCACAACTGCAACATCAACAACAACAACACACGGCTGCTGCTGCTGCACATAATCATGCAATACATTCTCTACCCTCAACACATCATCCTCACCATCATTCTCATCATTATCCAGCAACACACTTACAACAACATCATCACCACCACCAACAACAACAACATTTGCAAGTAACACAATCACAAGTTGCCGCTGCCCATCATCACATGTTGCATGGTCAGGGTAAGTACACATATGTACTCACATGTACATAATTTTTTTAGTAGACTAGTAGAGCAACAACTACAACAAAAAAACTTTAAAATTATATTTGTGGCATTTTTGAACAAAGAAGAAAAATATTTATTAGCTGTACCATCATCATTTCATTTTTTTTATTTATTCATTTAATTTTTTTAAATAATTCCATTGTTGTTGTGAAAAAAAAAAACTTTGTTAAAGCAACACATGTCAGTTAATAACAGAATTGTAAAGGTATGATATCATTTTCATACAAGTTTCAACTACCAACAATTTTATTTAACTATTTTTCAGTTTAGATCGCAGTTTCTTTATAAGTTCCTTCTTTAGTCCATTCGTCGTTCATGTTCAAATCCGGGGCCATGAGAAGTTTTGTCCAAAGATGATCCGTTGACAGTATATTCTTTGTCAATCTCATTTCCACTTCCTTATCAACTCGATAAAGTGTCATCTGAGTTGGAACAGCAAGAATTAAGAGCCTTATTATGTGTAGATATTATTTATTGGTCAACGTATCGATACATAATGTTCCAAGTCTTCTCGCACCAAACTCAGTAACAGTTTCTAAACGCGTCGTCACGAAGTGAATGTATACCAGTCTTCTATTATTGGTATTCGGAAGGTCGTGTTAATGTTTCGCATATCAAAGGATGTAGAATATCAAAGGATCATTTTCTTGATCCGTTTTACTTCTATCGTAGCTCTGTTATTCAGCTCAGCTTCGGTTCTAATTCAATTCTAGTTCATTTCTACTTCAGTTTTAGTTCCCCTCTAGTTCTTTTCTATTTCTGTTTTTGTTCCGTTCTAATTCTGCTCTAGTTCTGTTCTAGTTCTGTTCTAGTTTTGTTCTAGTTTTGTTCTAGTTCTGTTCTAGTTCTGTTCTAGTTCTAGTTCTGTTCTAGTTCTTTTCTAGTTCTGTTCTAGTTCTGTTCTAGTTCTGTTCTAGTTCTGTTCTAGTTCTGTTCTAGTTCTGTTCTTACTCTGTTCTAGTTATGTTCTAGTGCTGTTCTAGTTTTTTTTAGTTCTGTTCTAGTTCTTTAGAGTTCTAGTTCATTTCTGTTCAGTTCTAGTTCTTTTCTAGTTCTGTTCTAGTTCTGTTCTTGTTCTGTTCTAGTTCTGTTCTAGTTCTGTTCTAGTTCTGTTCTAGTTCTTTTCTAGTTCTGTTCTAGTTCTGTTCTAGTTCTGTTCTAGTTCTGTTCTAGTTCTGTTCTAGTTCTTTTCTAGTTCTGTTCTAGTTCTGTTCTAGTTCTGTTCTAGTTCTGTTCTAGATATGTTCTAGTTCTGTTCTAGTTCTGTTCTAGTTCTGTTCTAGTTCTGTTCTAGTTCTGTTCTAGTTCTGTTCTAGTTCTGTTCTAGTTCTGTTCTAGTTCTGTTCTAGTTCTGTTCTAGTTCTGTTCTAGTTCTGTTCTGTTCTGGTTCTGGTTCTGTTCTAGTTCTGTTCTGGTTCTGTTCTAGTTCTGTTCTAGTTCTGTTCTAGTTCTGTTCTAGTTCTGTTCTAGTTCTGTTCTAGTTCTATTCTAGTTCTGTTCTAGTTCTGCTCTAGTTCTGTTCTAGTCTGTTCTAGTTCTGTTCTAGTTCTGTTCTAGTTCTGTTCTAGTTCTGTTCTAGTTCTGTTCTAGTTCTGTTCTAGTTCTGTTCTAGTTCTGTTCTAGTTCTGTTCTAGTTCTGTTCTAGTTCTAGTTCTGTTCTGTTCTGTTCTGTTCTGGTTCTAGTTCTGTTCTAGTTCTGTTCTAGTTCTGTTATAGTTCTGTTCTAGTTCTGTTCTAGTTCTGTTCTAATTCTGTTCTAGTTCTGTTCTAGTTCTGTTCTAGTTCTGTTCTAGTTCTGTTCTAGTTCTGTTCTAGTTCTGTTCTAGTTCTGTTCTAGTTCTGTTCTAGTTCTGTTCTAGTTCTGTTCTAATTCTGTTCTAGTTCTGTTCTAATTCTGTTCTAAGCTCTGTCCTAGTTTTGTTCTGGTTCTGTTCTAGTTCTGTTCTAGTTCTGTTCTAGTTCTGTTCTAGTTCTGTTCTAGTTCTGTTCTAGTTCTGTTCTAGTTCTGTTCTAGTTCTGTTCTAGTTCTGTTCTAGTTCTGTTCTAGTTCTGTTCTAGTTCTGTTCTAGTTCTGTTCTAGTTCTGTTCTAGTTCTGTTCTAGTTCTGTTCTAGTTCTGTTCTAGTTCTGTTCTAGTTCTGTTCTAGTTCTGTTTAGTTCTGTTCTAGTTCTGTTCTAGTTCTGTTCTAGTTCTGTTCTAGTTCTGTTCTAGTTCTGTTCTAGTTCTGTTCTAGTTCTGTTCTAGTTCTGTTCTAGGTCTGTTCTAGTTCGTTCTAGTTCTGTTCCAGTTCTGTTCTAGTTCTGTTCCAGTTCTGTTCTAGTTCTGTTCTAGTTCTGTTCTAGTTCTGTTCTAGTTCTGTTCTAGTTCTGTTCTAATTCTGTTCTAGTTCTGTCCTAGTTTTGTTCTAGTTCTGTTCTAGTTCTGTTCTAGTTCTGTTCTAGTTCTGTTCTAGTTCTGTTCTAGTTCTGTTCTAGTTCTGTTCTAGTTCTGTTCTAGTTTCTGTTCTAGTTCTGTTCTAGTTCTGTTCTAGTTCTGTTCTGTTCTAGTTCTGTTCCAGTTCTGTTCTAGTTCTTTTCTAGTTCTGTTCTAGTTCTAGTTATGTTCTAGTGCTGTTCTAGTTCTGTTCTAGTGCTGTTCTAGTTCTGTTCTAGTTCTGTTCTGGTTCTGTTCTAGTGCTGTTCTAGTTCTAGTTCTGTTCTAGTTCTGTTCTAGTTCTGTTCTACTTTTGTTCTAGTTCTGTTCTAGTTTTGTTCTAGTTCTGTTCTAGTTCTGTTCTAGTTCTATTCTAGTTCTGTTATATTTCTGTTCTAGTTCTGTTTTAGTTATGTTCTAGTTCTGTTCTAGTTCTGTTCTAGTTCTGTTCTAGTTCTGTTCTAGTTCTGTTCTAGTTCTGTTCTAGTTCTGTTCTAGTTCTGTTCTGTTCTAGTTCTGTTCTAGTTCTGTTCTAGTTCTGCTCTAGTTCTGTTCTAGTTCTGTTTTATTTCTGTTCTAGTTCTGTTTTATTTCTGTTCTAGTTCTGTTTTAGTTCTGTTCTAGTTCTGTTCACGTTCTTCTCCAGTGATATTCTAGTTGAGTTGGTATATTCTTCTTTTGAAATCACTCCTTTAAACTCCTTTGTTGTATGCACAATTGCATACATATTTGTTTTCGCTTCCAGCTCCCTCTCTTAGTACCAATAGCTTTACAAATGACTACCACAAAAGCTGCATTGAAACAACAACAAAAATGCATAATTTTTTTGAACTTATTGTTGTTTTAAGTTCTAAGTAAGTACGAAGTACTAGCAACACACAGTACAAGTGACATATCAAAGTGAAATTAAATTTGACAGACAAGCGCGCTAATTTCCTCGAGTTCCTGTCATTGTTATATATTCAAGGCGTTGTCATGCCCGTTACTTTACAATAACAACAAACTGAAATTGAATTGAATTTGAATATTGTTTAACGTAAGACAAAGTGTCTATGCCCTTTGTTGTTTTGTACTTTTTTTTTTTGCTTCTTTATGGAAGAAATATTTTTGTTTTACATGTTTTGTTTTTTTGTCGGGGACTGGTATGAAAGTTGAGAAAAAGGGTTGTTAAAGTTATGCTAGCTATACTGGTAGTATTTAACACTATTAGTTGATTTTTTATTTGACAGGAATTTCGTATTATTCAAATTGTTTTGTAGTTAACAATTAACTGTTGTGTGCTAGGAATTAAATGCCCTACGAAGGGTGTATTTTTTGGATTAAACTAATTAAGTAGAGATTAATATTGGAATATATAGTTCTAAAGAGAACTATATATTCGGAAAATAAGTAAGAAAATAAATTGAACGTTTAAGTCAAGATGTTTGGTAAATCAAATCCGATATACAACTTATAATATATTCCAGTAGGGTCTATTTTTAACGACCTTGACCTTATAATATGTCTGTTTTATTCATTAGCCTCTTTTTTTTTTGTTTTCAAAACTTCGTGTTTTTTTAAACAGGGGTGATGTTTTAAATTAGTTTTAAATTCTTCTTTTTAAGCTCAACATACGTTTTGTAAAATGTTGTGCTAACAGCTTCATTTCGATTTTGCTGTGAATGAAACCCAATACTTTTGCAAGTGATGAAATAATTAAAAACTGATTAATATTAAACAATACTTGATAAGGGTTTTGAAGTTTTATACTGGATTTCTTCAGTCTTTTTTTGTTATCAAATGTACAGTTTTTTTTCTCTCAAAACTAATGGAATTATAGTTTTTTTAGATTTTTTATTATTTTCATTTATTAATTGCCTTTTTATCGTAATAACCAAGTGTTGATTTAAATTAAATATGAAAACAATAATTTCATTTTATCTGCGTAATTATGACAGGGAATTTGTTTATTGTCTTTTTAAAAATATGTGGGCCAACTGTTTACAAAGTCTGGAGACTTTAAATGAACAGTGAAGTTTAAAATAAGTTGAACCTAGCTACATATTTCATATAATTTGGAGAGCGGGGGGTTTATCGATCGTTCCAACAGCCGTTTATAATTTAATCAACAAAAATTGAAAATGAGATTTAGATTTACTTTTGCCTCGGGTTAGTCAAACTAGAAGCGTATGTCTCGAGTCCAACGATGTCTCAGATCGAATACTAAAGAGTGGAGTGTTAAAACCGATATTTGCCAACAGGTCGTTTATCGATAGTTCCAACAGTCGTTTCTTATTTGATCAGCAACAACTGAAAATACCATTTAGAAGCATGTCAAACTAGAAGCGTTCGATGTCTTGGATCGAATACCAAAGAATGGAGCGTTGAATCGATCCTTCATATTTTATCATCTAGAACAGAAGAGACGATTTGGGAGCTCTTGCCTAAGATTAATCGTTTTAGAAGCGTTTGTCTCATTTCCACGAACAACGTCAATATTTTCGACCCATTTGCCGAAAGTTAAAAGTACTGCTTTTTAATGAATAGATCGTGAATTTCACC